GCCACACATGTGCAAGAAACACTTGCACACGCGCACTGCACACTAACGCAGACACACATGCAAGTACACACACAGACACATTACGAACTGTAAGCAGGGCTCACTTCCTTCCAAGATAGGGAAACAACTTCGCTGACGAGAAAAGCACACGAGTTAGACCCAGCTGGTGACCTGGTGTCCACACAGGACACAATGCGACCCACCCCCTGCCAGCGTGCAGTCGGTGTTAGTTCTCCCCGAGGACAGCCCGTCCTCGCACGGCGCGAACAAAACAATCCCTTTACCATAATTATTTCCGTAAGAGTTGGGTCTAGAACGCCCTCCTCCTGCGGGACAGAAAGAGCACGTGAACTGGAACCCCGGAAGTTTCCGGGGCCGCACCGAGAACACCCGACCCAAGATGCCGTGTGAGGCTGGGGAGATGTCGAGGCCGCCCTCCCCGTGCAACCGAAAGGTGCACCGTCCCCACGGCGTGGCCTCTGACCGCAGGGGACTGGAAGCTGAGGTCACACTGCACCGCCTTTGTCTCAGGGGGCTCGGAATCCCTCACCCCAGAGGATCAGGGGCCCCATGTGATGATGATTGCCAAGTTTTAAATAAAAAAAAATTTCTTTTCAGGGCACCTGGGGGGCTCAGTCGGTTGAGCGTCCAACTTCGGCTCAGGTCATGATCTCACAGCTCGTGAGTTCAAGCCCCACGTCAGGCTCCGTGCTGACAGCTCAGAGCCTGGAACCCGCTTCAGATTCTGTGCCTTCCTCTCTTTCTGCCCCTGCCCCCGCTCATGCTCTGTCTCTTTGTCTCAAAAATAAACAAACATTAAAAACAATTTCTTAAAAATGGCATCTGCTTTTGGCCGACAATTTCCCATTGCGTTATGGGGACAGGGCCATCTACGGGGTGACGGATGTCTGTCCCTGTCACCTTTACTTTGTAAAACGGGCTGTAAACTATTATTCCTCATACCGAGCTGCGGAGATTCACGGACCACATCTCCAACAGGACCCCGACGCCTTGCAAATGCACCCATATCAGTCGTAACCCACCAGACCGTGACTCCATTCAGTTCTGATGCTGAAAGCCCATAACCAATGGCAAAGAGAAAAGTAAATTCACGCTTTGCCTTTGACCCGTAAATTGACTGATGGGTGAACTGAATCAGAGGGACAAGTCTGCATTTATAAGCCCCAGGACGTCATGGGCAGAACGGGGACCCTGATTAACGACCCTGTATCACATCAGAATGCGAATGTATCGCATCTCAAAATTGCTAAGGGAAGGGGGCGCCTGGGTGGCTCAGTCGGTTCAGCCTCCGACTTGGGCTCAGGTCGTGATCTCACGGTTCGTGGGTTCGAGCCCCGCGTCCAGCTCTCTGGTGTCATCGCGGACCCTGCTTCCGCTCCCCTGTCTCTGTCCCTTGCTGCTTCTCTCCCACTCATGCTCTCTCTCAAAAATAAGTAAGCATTAAATTATTTAAGTCGCTAAGGAAGTAAATCTTAAAAGTTCTCATTTCGGAATAAAAATAAATAAATAAAATTTGTAACTATGCATCCCGATGCGATGCGGGACCAGCGGACTTACAGTCCCAATAATTTTGGAACAAGTCTCCAATAGGGAACTGTTACTTTATATACATAGAATGAATACAATGTTCACGTGCATTGTGTCTCCAATAAAAAAAAAGGAAAAAACAATCCGTAGCGTTTTCTTTTCCCAGCATGACATTTTGTCGTCAGTCTTCCCTTACAGAAGCAGACAACAAGCTGAGAGCTTCAAGATTGCCCGCTTACTTTGAGATACACTCAGTGTAGACAAGACCCCCATTACTTCCTGCTGTGGACACTTCCTTCCCTTCCTGCCAGGATCTGCCCGCCCAGAGTGTTTTCTGTTTGCAATGGTCAGCCGCTGAGCCGCGTAACAAAGATCCCCCCACACACCGATTCACCGGCTGCTGTTCCCCTAGTGTCAGTTGCTCTGTTTCTCACTACCTGCGTGCACACCTGGGTCCCTGGAGGGCAGGAGGCAGGCCAGCCAGAGGGTCAGTGCAGACAGGGCTCCAAACCCTGCACACCAGCACAGAGCCAACACCCAAGACCGCAGGAAGAAATTGTTGTGGGGATGCAAACAGGAGCCCTGGAAATACGACACCCCCTCCCGCCGCCCTCGCCCTCCGGGGGGCCCAAGTGTTGGACGTACCATAGGCGTTTCCGTGGCCGTCATTGTTGGGATAGTAGCCACCACCGCCAGCTGTGGGACAGAAGGCAGATTTCAGCTGAGCTCTACTGGGACGCACAGGGTTGCAGCAGGCGTCTGCTTGGGTCGCTGGTGACGGCACCAAGCCATGCCCAGGAGTCACCCCAAAGGGAGCCCCATACGGCAGCCAAGAGCAGGGGCCGTGAGGGCACATCCAAGGGTGCCCCCAAAGTCATAGCTTTCTGTAGGAAAATTCATGCCCAGGCAGGCACCCCCACAGAAAGCTCTGTGCGGGGTGCCTGACGGGGTTCAGGCGGTTAAATATCGGACTTCGGCTCAGGTCATGATCTCCCGGTTCGTGGGTTCGAGCCCCACCTCGGGCTCTGGGCTGACAGCTCGGAGCCTGGAGCCTGCTTCACATTCTGTGTCTCCATGTCTCTCTGTCCCTACCCTGCTCGCACACTCTCTCTCTCTCTCTCTCAAAAATAAACATTTGAAAAATTAACAAAAAAGAAAAAGGTCTGTGCCTTCAGAGAGCACGTATGTATCCTGATGGCAGCAGATAAATGCAGGTGCATCTATCCCTGTCCTGCAGAGACATCTGAGCAGGACCAGAGACCCAGACACAGGGTCACCGTTCTGAGAAGGAAGGCTGGGAAGGCGGTCCCCACCATCAATGCTCTGTACCAAAGGCTACCCATTATTATCGTGTGATCATTACTGCAATAACGAGTCAAAGTTATTTGTTGGTGGTGTTCCAACATTGCAGAAAAGATGCGTGTGTGCATCCTGGTCGTCCAGATGACAAAGAGGCCCCTCCGCACGGTATCGGGGAGAAGTCCTCACGTACCTCTTCTGGACACTCGCAGAACTCGACACAGCAGAAACCTCACAGCCGTGCACGAGAGCCTCATACGTTACCTTCTGGCGGACACAGCACCCGTCTGTCTCGCGGAGGGCGTGTGCTTTTATTCACGTATGAAAATGCCTATGAAGGGGGTCACTTTCCAGTCACACAGAAAACACTGCGTGAAAGCTGTCTATGCACGTGTGTATGTGTATGTGTGTGAGGGTGTGTGTGTGGACAAATACACACACATAGATATACACACAAATATACATACCTACATATGTAAAAGTAGATACACACATACACAGATATAGATATTATTTATCTGAAACTACTTATATAATGACACACATATAAAAATATACATATGTATGTATAAAGGTATATAAGTATACATACAGATATACAAGTAACTATATATAAAAATATACCTACAGATAAATATACATATACACAAATAAAGATATATTTATCTAAAACTACATATATAATGATACACACCCATAAAAGTATACTTATGTATGTATAAAGGTATATAAGTATACATAGAGATATACAAATAACTATATATAAAAATATACCCATATATAACAGTATATATACACTCAAAATACATACACAGATATATAAAGCTGTGTATATATCCATATATAAAGGTATGTATATACATATATAAAAATGCATCTATACACATGTATAAAGATATGTACAAAACTAGTGATATAAAGTCTATCTATAATCACGCACATACAAATATATATACATAAATATAAAGATATATGGAAACACATATATAAAGGTATGTATACACACTGTATATAAACACGTATGTATTTATAAAACGTGTATATGCAGAGATGTATAAATATGTACATACACATATAAATGTGTATATATAAATATATAAAAACGGATATATGATAAAGACATACAAATATGTGCATATGTATATAAAGGTACATATACATAAAGATATATAAAGATATATTCATATATATATAAATATATAAAAACGGATATATGATAAAGACATACAAATATGTGCATATGTATATAAAGGTACATATACATAAAGATATATAAAGATATATTCATATATAAACGTGTTTATGTAAACATATGTAACACGATATATACATAAGTATAAATATATCAAAATATGTACAAAAATATGTACATACAAAAGATGTACATACATACATCTTATGTATGTACATATGTACATATGTCTTATGTATATAAAGATGTACATGTAAATATACATAAAGGGATGGATACGTAAAGAAAGGTACAGGGACTTATGTATCCAGACGTGTGTATTTACATAAAGGGACGTGTGCATACATGCAGATTTGGAGAGATGTGCGTACATAAAGCCCTGCACACAAAGCGGTACGTGGATACGTGGACGTATGGAAGTGTATGCATAAAGGCCCGTATGCACACGTCCGAGCAGAGGCCGTAAAGGTATGCGCACACACAGGTCCATTCGGGCACACGCTCGCGCACACGTGTGTACACACACCACCACCCCCTTCCAGGGGAATCTGCCCCGTTTCCAGTCTCGCCCGCAACCTGCGCCTCCAGAGCGTCAGGGGTGTGAGGCCCACTGCACTGCGGCATCGGAGGGGACGCCCCGCACCCCATCTTCGCGGGGCGCACCTTGCACCCAGGCGGGACCCGCGGCCTCCCCCCAGTCAAGTGAGAGAAGCCGTGGGCGTACCTGCGGGCGGCCTGGGCCTGGGCGGGTAGCGGCCGTCATCCTGGTCCCTGTTCCCAAAGTAACCTGCAGGGTGCAGCACAGAGCATTCCTCAAACCCCGCGCAGACAGCCCTCTGTAAACCCAGCCCGTGTGACCCGACGCAGGCAGCTTAGGGAGAGCGGGGTGGACCCTTTCCAGGACGCCAGGGCGCCGGAACCAAACTGTGGGTGGAATGCCATCATTCCTGCGGGGAGAGCGCGGGGGGCGGGGGGACCCAGAAGCCCGGGAAGGGCAGTTGGTGGGACGGACCCGTCTGATCTGAGAGTTCAAGGGAGATTCAAAATGGAGAGGAAGACACCCAACCCCAGGACCTTTGCACATGCCCTCTGCACTCAACACAGGCTATTCTTCCTGCCTCAGCCGCTTCGTTGGACCCCACGCCTCCCACACTTGTCCATCCATTTGTTTGTGCCCCCTAGCACGCTGCAGGGGGCCACATTCTGTCCATGACCACGGAAGCCCCATGCCCAGCACCAGGCTTGGCCCATCCAGAGTGCTCAGTTAACCGCGTTCAAAGTCCTCCATGCAAGCACATAGTAAGTGCTTAATTAAATGCTCGGCATTTCCTCCCTGCAGGCACATAGTAAGTGCTCAATTAAACACGTCAGACTTCCGTGGTGCAAGCACATAGTAAGTGCTCAATTTGATAAAACTATGACATGGAAAAGGCCTGTAGAGGCTTCTCTGATTTCTTTCTGCAAGAACTTCTCCCTCAGCGACGCTGCCCCGAGCACTGGGGACCCCAGGAAAGGGCTTTCCCGCTCTGGAGGGCTCATGACATCTCACTGATTTTGCTTAAAGGGGCATCTCCCGAAATACGTGTGAGCAGAGAACAGCTTCCATCATGAGCCCTTAGTAACATCTTGGAGGACACTGCACCCCGCAACCCGAGATTTAGGGGGCAGCACGGGTGAGGGATTCAGGGGTGGGCCTCGTAAAAGACGGTCTGGATCTTTTGGAAGCATTGGCATCGCACCACCAAGGGGACAATTCCAGGCGTGAGTAAAGGCCACACCCCGTGCACCCCGAGGACTTCTGAAACGCGTCTCCGTGCGCTTACCTCCACCGCTGTCGGAACCGCCGGGCTGGGGGCGCGGGGGTGGCCTCGGCCGGGGGTAGATGCCTGTCGGAACACAACGCCGCCATTTCAGGAAAGTAAGGACGCCTTTCGGCCATCGGCCAGCCGCACAACTGAGGAAGCACAGCCCCACACGCTGAGCCTGCCACCGAGACCTCAGTGGTCTCTCCGGAGAGCCAGTGGCCGCAGCAGGGACGCGTGCCCTCCTCGGGGTGACCTGTCCCCAGCTCGACTACCCGCATCGCCTCCTGGGGGACCCCCCACCCCGAGTATCTGGGGAACGAGCCTGCAGAAAACGCTTCTGGGAGCCGCCTTGCAAACGGGGCGCCCTCCCAGGGTGGGGCACATTCGGTGTATTTCCCCCACATCATGCAGGTCTGCCCCGGGGGGCATCCGACCCTGAGACCTCCGCGTGGTTCGGAACTTCACCCCCAGTCTCCCAGGGAAACCGATCGCCTAAGCACAAGGTTTTTCGAAAGGGGAACTTCGAGATGCAAAACTGTAGAAACGGCCTTGTTTAGGGTTGGAAGCAATTTCCCTGAAGGCAAAGCTTCCGTATCGATTTCATACCGTGGCCACAACAAATACCACAAACGAGGCCGGCTGGAGCAAGACACATGTATCCCCTCCTGGTCCTGCAAGCTGAGACCGTAAGATCCAGGAAGGGCTGAGGCTGGGGGTCTGAGGTCCAGGCAGGGCCGAGGCCAGGAGTCTGAGGCCCAGGCAGGGCTGAAACTGGGAGGCTGAGGTCCAGGCAGTGCTGAGGCTGGGGGGGGGGGGG